GACCTCAGTTTGCCCAACACCTTTTGTGGTCCCAAGGTTGGAACTTCCCTGGTGGCGCAGTGGTTAAGAATCTGCCTGCCAATGCAGGGGACACGGGTTTGAGCCCTGGTCTGGGAAGATCCCACATGCCAAGGAGCAACTAAGCCCGTGAGCCGCAACTACTGAGCCTGCGCTCTAGAGCCCGCGAGCCACAACTACTGAGCCCGCATGCCACAACTACCAAGCCTGTGCTCTAGAGCCCATGAACCACAACTACTGAAGCCCGCATGCCTAGAGCCCGTGCTCCACAACAAGAGGAGCCCCCGCTCACTACAACTAGGGAAAGCCCGCACGCAGGAACAAAGACCCAAAGCAGCCAAAAATAAATAAATAAATTTATATCAAAAAAAAGAATGAAAAGATCATGTGGTCTTGCAGCTTGCCTCTGTCGGCTCCTCACTTCAACTCCACCTGTAGCAGGTGTTCTTTTGGGTAACTCTGCCCCGAAGTTTTCTGATCACCTTTGTTGGAACAGACCCTGACTTGTGTGGCCAGGTTGCCCGACACACAAGCACTCACAGCTCAAGCTCCGAAGAACTTTCATAGCAACGCTTATGTAACACTGTCTGTGACCTCGCCAAAAACCCTGAAATTTCACAGCGGGAAGAATCCTCCAGGATCACCTAACACAGTTATCCATTTCTCAGCTCAGGATATTCAGGAAGACGAAGTGACTTGCTTCACAAATTGGAAGCAAAACAAGAGCTTTTCCCAGATCCTTTGACGTACTTATCTCCCCTGTAATTTATTTGTACGTCTATTCATTTCTGAAAAAACATTTATTGAATGCTACTTCACGATGGGCCCTCTTCCAGCCACTCATGTGAAATGCAGAGCAAGACAGGTGTAGCCCGTGTCTTCCAGGCAGTGCATCCTGCTGGCTTCAGCAAAATGCCCAGTGTCAGTTTCTCCAGTCAGTCACGACGGACATGCAGGGGGACCAGGAAGCAGAGAAGTCTTAGGGCCACTGAGACCACGGACGAGGACCCAGTCCCGGAACTGCTGCCTCTCGTTGATACGCACTGCCCCCACTGCAGAACACTTAGCTTCTAAAACTTAGTTCCTCTCACTTCGGATTCTAACCTTGGATCCAATCCCCCTTTTAACAGAGTCTCTGAAAACCATGTAAAACTACTCAGCAGTCCTTGAACCCTCACACCTGGTTATGAACTTATTCAGGAAAAGGTCTACCTTGCCCCAGGCCCAAACAGTCATGAAAACAGATAAGAGCATCTTCTCCAGCGATGGAGAAGCACCTCCATTTTCATGGCGGTTCTCAGTGGGGGCAGTTCTGCCTCCCAGGAACCGTGTAGCCATGTCTGGAGACGACTGGGAAGGGGTGCTCCTGGCATCGAGTGGGCAGAGGCCAGGGCTGCCGCTCACCACCCTGCAGTGCACAGCACAGCTCTCCTCTAACACCAGCAACACAGAGCCCCAAATGTCAACCCCAAACGCCAACTGTGTCCAGGTTGAGAAACTCTTACCTAGAGCTCTGGTCGCCTCACACACAAGTAACCATAACCCATGAAGCTCCACGGCCCTTGAGATCCACTCAGGATAAATTAGTATAACTGCTTTAAGTAGACTCCAATCCAGACCCTTCAGCGGATCCCAAATCACCTTGCTTGGTTCAGTTTCATCCCTAATGAGGAACCACAGTATGTTATTCCACACACATAAATGCTCACATGAAAGAAGGAATCTCAATCGCCAACACAGGGTGTACGCACCACCACTGGATTTCCTGGTAGTCTTCAACACCACATGAAACTGCTATTAACATTAGCTGCATTTTCTGTTACCCTTAATGATAAATAAATTATAGGTTTAAAGGCCTATCAAAATACAAGAAAGATATACTTTCCCCACAAACCTGGAAGAGACTGCACAAGAAACTAGAAATGTCAACATCGTGAAAAATACAGTAATCCCGTTTTAAAATAGAATACTACCAACCCCACTTCTGAACTAAACCTATCCAAGATGTGATAGACTAAGGTATTTGCTCTAAATATCATCAGTTCACCTCTTGAACTACTCAAAACTTGTATTCCCTAGTTGACAAAAACGGAATTGTTGATGCCAAGGGAATTCAAGGACTAAAGATCAGTTCTTTTAACACAACTGCTAAGGCAGTAAGTAATCATGTGTCACATACACAGCTCACACAGTAAAGAAGCCTGATGTGCATAAGCAAAAGCAACCTTCCTTACTGAATTCTCGTCATGTGCTTCTTCGTGGTCTGCACAACTGAGATTCACAACCTTGAAAGGCAGGTATTATTTTCTCCAGGTTAAGATTTTTTTTTTCCTTTCTTTCTTTCTTTTTTTTCTTTTTTTTTTGCGGTACGCGGGCCTCTCACCGCTGTGGCCTCTCCCGTCGTGGAGCACAGGCCCTGGACGCGCAGGCTCGGCGGCCATGGCTCACGGGTCCAGCCGCTCCACGGCATGTGGGACCCTCCCAGACCGGGGCACGAACCCGCGTCCCCTGCATCGGTAGGCGGACTCCCAACCACTGCGCCACCAGGGAAGCCCCAGGTTAAGATTTTTTCAAAAGCCTCCAGCAGGTAGACAACATGCCACAGGTCACACGGAAGGAAAATCGACTCCAGCTAGATTTAGACCCAAGTCCCATACTGTTTCTCCCACGACCCTCTCTGCAGGTGGTCTTGGCACCTGGCATCAGTACTTCACGGAAGGGTACCCATCTATTCACCCTCCCTCAGCTCCTCAGGTTGCTCTTCTACAGCCCATGCCCTCTGAGAGTCTGTGGGCTCAAGGGGCATAGGAAAATCAAAGTTTACCAGAGCCAGGTCCCTAATTAGTCCAGTAATATCAACTCACCTAACACGGCTTAATTTTGTTCACCTTCTTTAGAGTGGATGACACCACCAGATTGGGCACGACTAGCTGGACCAGTTCCACTTAGTCAGTGACCTAAAATTGCCTTTGATCAGAAGCAAACGTGGTTTGTGGAATGGACTGGTTTTAGATGCCAAAAAAACAATGATTTTTTTGGAGCTAGACAAACACTGGGAACGCTTACTAGCAACCACAAAGTTAGTGTATTTGATCTTCCACGCTTGACGTCAAGACAAGGTTTTTAAATATCCTAGTATTTGGCTAGCTCTCAACTTAGCATTAGAGATGTTTAGAGATAACTGTAGTTAATAATATTGACACATAAAAGGAAGGGGGTCACTTACAAGAAGAAAACAGGCAGATTTAAATAACAAACTAGTACAAAGAGCAGTAGTGCTCAACCCTGACACACAAGAGAAGCCTTGAAAAATGCAAATGCCGAGTCCCACTCCAGACCAACTGAGTCAGAATCCTGGGGGACGGAGGGAGCAGTTGCACTGTTTTCAAACTTCCCGGGTTGGTTATTACGGACGGCAAGTGCTGAAAATGATGGCGGAGAGAGGGTTTGAGATAGGCGGTTCTGTGTGCAGACCTCAGCTCTGATATTACCAACTGCACACGCTGAGAAAACCCATAAATCCTCTGACTTTCCCTTTCCCCCCGTGATGCAGCGTAAGTGGTCTTTGCCACTTCGTGGTGCCTTAAGGATGAAGGCAAGATACATCTGTCACATAACACTGGGCCAATGTCATTATTACTCTTAAGATTCACTCTGTCCATATTCTCTTAGAAGTAAAGGATTTAGTCCTAAAATGGGTAAACAGACCAGTCCTCAGAGGCCCTGAAACGACTCATCTTTGTTTCTTTCTATGATCTGGGTTGAAATCAAGTGACTTGCTATTGGAGCACAGAGGAGAAGGCTGCTGGTTCTGATTGCACCGAGGTGATCTGTGGGCCAGAGGCTGGAACTCTGGGCACCCCTCACCAGCATGAATGCAGAGTTTTGCTAGGATCCTGAACAGAATGGGCTTCCGTTAGCCACAGAATCAAAAGTAGGTAACAACCGCATCGAAACACCTATTCAAAGTGACTGCTAGTATCCAGAAAGGCTGCTAGGCACTTTGCAGTCCTTACTGCATTTGTACCTCACTTTGGCCCAACATTAGAGGTATAACCTCAACTTCACCAACAAAGAAATCGAAAGAAAACAGCGTGTCAAAAGTCTCCCAATTAGTAGGTGGCATTTCCTGCATCTGAAGCCATGTTTACCTGATTCAAAATCCTACTCTCTTAACCAGTGAATTTACTGTGCCCGGAATGAAGAGAGAACACAGCACGGAAAGGATGAAAGCGCCGCCCTGACTACCGCTGGACTTGCATCCTCCTAAGTTGGCTCCTTCCCAGGTGAGCTAACTTATACATTTATGGCTCCAGAGAGGTATCAGTTGTCAGGTTTACGCAAAACAATCTTCTGGGATATAGACTAATACGCAGACTTCCAGGTCCTACCTGCCAGTGATTCAGAAACTGTAGGTCTGCGATGGAGCCCCGAATCTGCCTTTTTAGCATTCATTCTAGGTTTCTCTAATACACATTGTTTCTGTTTTGCTTCCTTTGAGAATTATGTTTCTATATGTTATCTATGGCTTTTATTTTGTTGCTTTAAACCTACTGCCCTAAAACAGGAGACTCTGGGCCAAAACAAACCAGCCACCTGTTTTTGCAAATAAAGTTTTATTAGCACACAGCCACCCCTGTGCATCATCTATGTCTGCTTTCATGACTGCAGAATCGAGTATTTGCAACAGAGCCTGTGTGGCCAACCAAAGCAGAAAATATTTACTGTCTGGCCCTTTACAGCTAAAGTTTGCCAATCCCTGTCCTAAAATGACTCTACTGCCAGACTTTGGCAAAAGTGTGGACCACGGATTAATTTAGAAATGCTTTTCTGTATCTAACATCGTCTGAGTTGTTCAGCTTCTGGGATTCAATGAGTGCATGAAAATGTATTTTATTCATGAAAAACGTATCATTCATGATGTCTTGAGCCACGCCTGCCAGACGAGTGCTTAAATAAATTACATTATCTCCTTTTCCTACCTTCTGATGAGCCGCAAACCCAAGGGCAAGAGAAACAGATTTTTCTCTAGCAGATGACCAAGAAAAAAGCAGGTGTTCTCCATCAAATCTGCAAGACAAATGGAGAAAAGTCTGAGGAATTCATTAAGAATCCTTCTTAACTTATTTACTTGAAAAAAAAAAAAAAGGTTAGGAAAGGCACAGACTTTCCCTGTTGCCATATACTTAAAAAAATATCCAGATTGAGGGGAAGGGCCAATTGACATGGTGGAGGTAACTTCTTCCAGTTGCCGTGACTCTGCCAGGAAAGTTAACCCACCTGTTCCCCTGCAACCCATCATTATGCAAAGGCAACAGCTGCCACACTAGGACCAGAGGGAAAAGGGGACAATCATCAAGCCAGAGAAGAGAAAAGATGAGGAAGATCACAGTCAAGGGACCACCAGAGGGAAAAGGGGACAATCATCAAGCCAGAGAAGAGAAAAGGAGATGAGTAAGATCACAGTCAAGGGACCAGAGGGATGTAGTCTGGACCCGCAGCAGGAGGAGATGGCAAAGACGACGTGGATCAATAGGAACTCAGCGGTGATGCAAGAGGACCTTATACGGTGCAGGCACGCGAGCGGTGCTCAATGCTTGTTGAACGAATGTGCTTAGGAAAGTAAAGCTGAATTGGGGGTTCCAAAGAGAAAAGCAACGCTAGGAGTTCAAGGAAGGGAAATAAAAACATTAGTTTTTTACACATAATCATCCGGTATCGTATGAATTATCTCTAAGTATTTTCCCACTAGGGAAAAATAAAAGCCCAAATTCCTCCCTTCAAGCTCCGTTTCCTGGAGGAGTTAAAAAGGCTTGACCAGGTCTAGACACATTTTGTGCTCATTCCTATGCATAAGTGGCGGGGTTCCCGGATCCGCTGCGGCTCTCCCCACCTTGGCTTGCTGCACCGCAGGTTTCACCACAGGCTTCAACGGGAAGTATGTACTCTTTGCGGGACGCTACTTAGCTTCTTTTTAAGAGCTGAGCTACATGCAGGTATTTGTGACTCCAGGTCCTATTTAGGGAAACAAAATCACTGCCAGTGCGAGCGCAGTGAACGTTTTAGCAACCAACGACGTGGCCTTGGGATGGAGACGGTCTGGGGGAGCGAGTGGACCAGGCTCATTCCTCAGCCCTGGGAAAGCCAGCAGCTGCTCTGGCAGGTCGCTGTGTCTGATGCTGAGAAATGGTCATCGCTAGCGGGAGTAGGGTTCTGAGCTCCTACCTGGACTGCAAGAATGGCAGGGATTCTGAAACACTATTCTTCATACCAGGGGACTCAAGGAGATTCTACTTTTGCTTCTATAGGTTAACCAGGAATCCCACAGAGTTTGTATTAGTCAGGATTCTCCAGAACGACAGAATACCCTATGGGTAGGGTATATGTATAATGTATATGTGTGTGTGTGTATATATATATGTTCCTATACACGTACAGGATTGTGCTTTATACACATCAATACACATCCTGTACACAGGCTCTAAGTACTCTAAGCCCAATTAACAGTATATATTCCAACATACATATATAGGATATATGTATCCCATGTATGTGTGTTGTACATATAAAGAGATACATTACAAGAAACGACGAGGAACTGGCTCACACAATTACGCAGGCTGGCGAGTCCAAAGTCTGCAGAGCTGATGTCCCAGGTCAGCCAGGATAGACCCAGGAAGAGCTGACGTCCCCGTGCTAAGGTCATCAGGCAGGGAGAGCTATAGTTTGAAAGCCTCCAGGCAGAGAATTCTCTCTCACTTGGAGGAAGGTCAGACCGCTGTCCCAGCCAGGCTTTTAGCTGATTGGACGAGGCACACCCACACACCCACATGAGGAGGGCAACCTGCTTCACCTCATCCACAAACGTAAATGTTAATCTCATCCAAAGAAAATAAACCCTCCCAGAAAACACCCCAAATAACATTGGACCAAATATCTGAGCACTCTGTGGCCCCGTGAAGTTGACACATACAATTAACCGTCACAGGGTTAATTCCAGCTGAGCTGCCAATTAAATATTCTAGGTCCAATGCAAAGTGTTCTCTAATGCAAACTGGTTGACCTTTGATGAAACTTTGATTTTTGCATTGTAGCCAATCCGCGTTTATGAAGCCACTCACACCATTAAACAATCTTTCTGGATATTTAGAAAATATCAATGCTTGAAAACGAGCTAGCCCATTTACATTCCATTAGGCAGCACAGAACATTATAAATAGAATAGATAGACATTTTCAGATTTTTTTTCATCTTCTTTGTCGGTTTTCTTCTTAGATAAAACAAAATTTGAATAATTCAGGGTTCCCCATACACTCTCTGGGCTCTCCTACCTGTATATTTTCATTCACTCTCTCCTCGAGGCTTTGAACACGTTATCCTACCAGCTCTGGATAGATTATTCATTTATTCACTCATTCAGGTTCCCTTCAAATACTCACTTCTCCATTAATATCTACTTGAACTCTCTCACTCAAAAAATCTTTGACTCATTTGAGAGGCCATATATTGTATTCCCAACTTTTGAATTCCACTTCTTTCTTTCTTTCCTTCCTTCCTTCCTTCCTTTTTCTTTTTTTCGGATGTAGTTTCAATGTTCAGATGAGTCTGTAAAGCTCCTTGAAAACAGAGACAGTACATGGTTATCTTTTTCAAGGGCTAACATGAACCTAAGTACTCAGCGAATATTGAATGAATATGAATGAATACATGTGTGAGTGAGAATATGTAGTGAAATAATGTTTCTTGCTGAGCAGCTATTTTAGTAACACATCACAGTCCCCCCTGACTTTCCTTCCGTCATCTGACTTGCATATGGTCTTGAATCCTGGCAAGTTCTGGAAGGCATGCAGCCTGCTAGAGCCGGCAACTGCCTAATCTCACCTCCCCACCCTGGCCCCCCTTGTTTCTTCCAGCCTTGAAGTCACCATCAGAGAGGCCTGTTTTAGCATTTCCATATTTCTACATAAGAGATAGCAGATTTCACATTTGGTAAAATGAGCTCATATAAAATTCAGCTGTGTCTCTTGGATTAGGTTATTTTGACCTTCAAGATGTTCAGGCAGGCCCATCTTTGGGAACTAGTTGGGTTCAGCGCAGAGGAATGCAAATTATGAAATTATAAGGACACACCTATTTTTCTTTCGAGGTTTCTGGATGCGTGTTAAACTTTTAATTATCTGACATTTTATTTTAAGTCTTCTCGTACTGTTTTGAAAGCAAAGAGAAGACGCAAAATACCTTAATTCTTACAGAAAACCAAGCCACCCCCTCCATTAAATTCTGTTGGGTATTCAAATCCTAACTTCACCAGGTAATGAGTGAGATTATTCTTGGAGTGAAATGATGAAAATCAGCTCACTCAGACCTCTGTAACCTTTGAGCTAAATGAGAGAACACATCTTCCAATCAGACACATATATTGGCTATAACTGCAATTTGGGAGAAATTTTTCCAAGAACATCACAAGTTCTAGGTAGAGAGTGATGTTCATTGCAGGGGCTTTCAGGTCACGCACCGAGGTAGCTCAAAACAGTGGGAAAAACATTAGCTTGACTCAGCAATCTCACATACATCTTTGTTTTAAAACACTGAGGAGCTTAACACAAAATGAATCATTAGACCTAAACGTAAAACATAGAACTATACAACTTCTGGAAGAAAACAGGACGAAAAAAAAATCTTTGAGACCTTAGAGAGTTATGCAAAGATTCCTTAGATACAACACTAAAAGCATGATGTATAATAGAACAAATTGGTAAAGGGACATCATTAAATTTTTTTTAAGTCAGCTGTTTGAAAGACATTGTTAAGAAAACGAAAAGACAAGGCACAGACTGGAAGAAAATCTACGCAAACATATAGGATAATACCGACAAAATGACGACACTGCTTCTCATCAGATACAAAGCTGGGCAGAAGATTAATGATACAGCAATTTTAAAGAGCTGGAGAATAAAAGAGTAGAAAACAAACCAACAAAAACCTCTGTCATCCTCACATAAACAAAACCTGTGAAAACTTCTCACCAGTCAACCTCACTACAAAAACGCTTAAATGAGTTTCTTCAGGCTCAAGGATAATACCTGTGGAAAATCGGGCACTGGAAATAGTAAATATGTGGACAAATATTAAAAAGATATTTTATTTTTTTCTTCATTTCTTTAAACGAAAATTGACTGTTATAAAGCAAAAAGAGTAGCATACTACTGTGGGATTTATACCACAGTAAATAAAGTAAAACCATTAAGTAAATAAGTAAGTAAATAAGAAGTAAATTAATGATGACAGTAGTTGAATGCACAGAAGTGAGGTAGACGGCAATATACAGTGAAGTGGTAATAATTCATAAGAGATCAGGATTAATTAATTATGCACACTGAGGTTCTGACACCAAACATGAGGAAAAAAAGAAAGAAAGAAAGAGAAAGAGAGGGAGGGAGGGAGGAAGGAAGGGAGGAAGAGAGAGGAAAAAAGACAAAGAGAAAGAAAGAAGAGGGAAAAGGAGCGACAAAATTTTAAAGCAAATCTAGTAGAGCTAACGATCCAACAGAGGAGAGAAAATGCAAGACCAGAAACACGTGCTGAGTCCAAACACACACCACCAGCCCTTCCACTTACGACTGTTCTTAGAATCAGAAATATTTCACGCAACTGAAATTTACACTCGGCTCATCAAAAAATATGGATTGATTGGCAATTTGTCAGCCAGGACGTCTTTAAAACCCTTTGAATATTCTGAGGTCCAAAAGACAACGTTTTACTATCTCTTTATGAAACCCAAGTTCTGAAAGATGCAAGCAGAGCTCCAACTTTCTCCTTCATGTCTTAGGAAATGAAAGTGACTAGATGAACAAGCAAACCTTCAACAGACCTATTACTGACACATCTCAGTGAAATATATCTCATCAAGATTTTACCCTCCTCCCATCTAGTTTTAGGGGGAAAAAGTAAGGTTTTGATTATTTCTCCTTAAGTTGCTCTTTGGGAAGTCACCAGCATCTTATTCCCAGAAAAATGAATAAAATATATCCAGCTCTTGGTATTTTTTTCTAAAATAAATTGAATTGTGG